CACACTTACAGTATTCTTTAATCACATTTCATTGTCTGGAGGCAAATTTTCTGACAAATGAATGACAGTACAATCCAGAACCGAAATATTTATGAGGTTTGGAGATTTATGAGGACATTTTGCTATGCATGTAGCTTTTGTTAAGTAGACAAACCTTCACAAACATGAGATGGTACAAGTTGGTAGATATCAGGTAATTTTTGAAATTATTTTAAATAGATGATATGGACACAAATTAGTTTCAAACAAGCCAAAAAATGTGCAGCAAGAAGCAAGTTTTTTCTCTTGATCCTGTGTTCTATTCTGTCCGAAGTTTGGTGGTTTGCTGTGAGAATTTGACCAGGTTTAGTTTCTTCCTAAAATGGGTAAGATTTTTCATGTTTGAAAGTATAGCAGAATCTAAGAATGAGATGGAAATATCAGTAAAATGCTTTCGTATGCATATGGAAGAAAACTTCTGGGCATCCCAAAAGAGTATTGCCTTCAGCGTGACACAGTGTTGAATGACAACGAGAAAATGCCATTGCACACACGTTTGCTGTATTCAGTCAGCCCATGATGACAAACCTGTTGAAGTACAAACCTCTAGAACTTGAGAATGTGACTCAGAAAGAGAACCTTTTGCAAAATAATCAAGCTATGATAAGGTTATACTGGCTCAGGGTAGACTCGACATCTAGTGATTCTGTGTCATTGTTAGAAAATCATATAAGACCAGATTCACACAGGGAGAACGCCATGGGATGGCAGAGACAGAGATCGGGGTGATAGAGTTGCAAGACAAGGGAAGCCAAAGTTGCCAGTACCTCCGGTGTCTAGGAGAGAAACACAGGGTACAGTCTCCTTTTGATCCTCTAGAAGGAAACAACTTCGCTGATACCTTGACCTTGGACTTCTAGCCTTCAACAATGGAGAGAATACATTTCTGTTGTTTAAGGCCACTCAGGTTATGGTACTTCCTAATGGCAGTCCTAGGAAATTCCCATACAGAAAGGTAGAAAGCAAGCTTTTTCATCATCAAGAAGCTATTTATTTGCTAGAGAGTATGTAATGGGTACATGATTTCATTACTGTTCTCACAACAGTCACGTACTTCTTGCAAGGTAGGTATTGCCATTTACAGATGCAAAAACTCAGTCTCAACTCTTGAGTAATCTTTTCAAAGTCCCACAGCAGATGGGCTATATCTGCAAATAAATCATTGTACCACCTTGGTACTGATGATCTCCCATTTGCAAAGGACAACTCAACTTAGAAATGGTTCTAGCCATTGGGGGTTGCCCACATGATAGCTTTCAGAGGAATTAGAAGAAAAAAATCTACTTTCATTATTAGTGTTTATTTTTTACAATGTATATTCCTAGAAGAAATAACATACTGATGAAATTATAAATATAGCAAAGAGGTTTTTAAAAAAGTATAACAGAGGCTCTATAGCTTAAGAACAATGGATGTATCATGTGATGTCAATGATGAGAATGGGATAGTGAAGAGAATATAGATGGGGTGTAGAGCAGCAATATCAAATACATCCTTTCCACTTTAGGATTTTGTTGAATTCTGGCAAATATTTCTCATATATTTTAGGTTCTTAATAACTTTTGTTGTTAGAACTGGCATGACCTTCACTGGAGATTTATATTTGTAATTATATAAATCTCTATAGAGTGCTAAATGAAGACTAAATTAAAGTATTTGGTAGATGTAAGACAACATAATATATATCTGACACATTGCCTGGCTCAAGCAAACTCTTTGACATTCTAAACATGGTTGCAAATTTTTAATGGAATGTATTTTTAAAAAAAAACTTCACAGAATACATTTTCATTATAAGGAATTTGGAAAACAGGATAAAGAAGGAGAAGAAAATGAAAACTGTAATCATCTCATCCTAAGTCTAGCAATGCTGTATTTTAGGGTGCCTTTTTAGGATTTACTGTATAAATAATTTAAAAGAAATCAAGTGGTAATAAAAATCAAGTGATAATACTGATACACATTTTTCTACCATTGTAAATTTTTAAAAAATGAAAATATTTAATTTAGGAATAGGTGGAGGAATATATGTTTGGCATCCTTAATACAGTTTAAAGATTATTAGAATTTGTGCTCATAGGCTTTTAATATTTTAGGTACAGCTACTAATGGCAGACCAAGTAAGAGGACTTTTTAAAAATTCATTTTCATTTTTTGCAGAACTTAATCTCATCTGAGGGGACAGAGAAAACTGATTATATATATATATTATATATATATTTAATATAGGCCGCATCTAGTATGGATAAGTGAAGATCTTTTTGTGGTTTTCCCGGTTCAGCCTCATCAAAACTGTTTCAAAGCAAAATTATGTTAATGATGATGGCTGTTTCACAAAAGACAGTCAAACCACATAAGAGTTTCAGAGGTTTGGATAAGAAAGGTTTTTTTCATTGCTATCACTTCTAGATCTGTACTTCATCTCTCCATCCGTACTTCATGTATCTTCTAGAAGAAAACTGCTACATTGGTGTAAGTGGAACGATGACTTTTGGGAGTGAGGTGATATCATCATGGCTCAGAATCTGACCAGTGGTGAACCAGACTTGCAACAGGTATGAGGTAAAATACTGGGTAGCCCTAGTAACCGAATAACGTGTGGGAGGAATGACTTTATAACTGTCTGGCCTTTGCTAACAGCTTTGGAAAACTTGAAGGATCACAGGCTCAGATCAGCCAACCATCACCTTAGGACACTGAAAACCAGAAGGCTCTCACAGCAGTGTTGAAAGTGATTCTTATCTCCTGCAGCCAGAGAATGGAACTAGAATTTAATTGTGAGGGTGGCCGAGATGTAAAGAGAAAAGTGAGCCACCTCCTGCTCACCCCTTTGTTAGCAGCAGGGCTCTGATTATGGAAAACTGAGAACTAGAATCAGGGTACTGAGTGGAGGTACCAGGCAATTTTCAACCCTGACTCCCATGTGTTGCCTAAGTGGCTGGAGTTTATCCTTGCCTAAGCTACACAAAAGACCTTAACGCAGGCAAATGCCTTGAAAAGTGATGCATGTCACAGTCTGCTCAAAATGTACTTCCTTCTCTCATAACTGAGAGGTTAGAGATAAGATTCAAATATGAGCACAGCTGGCAGGGTAAAACCGGGCTGGGGGACTTTGCTTTTCAGAGGACTACAGGGTCTAGATGAAACGTACCCAGAAGAGCTGGGGCATAGATTTTAAAAGTTTTAATAGTATCTATTTGCAGTGTGTAATGATTACATTCACTGTAAGGAACTGGGACATGTTCATAACACATTTCAATTCCCTTTTTTCCCCTTTTTTCACCCCCTTTAATTTTTCCAGCATCAGATTCATGTATTTATAAGAACTTATAAAGTTAATTATCATATATTCAGATTGAAAACCTAATAGACTAATAGGCCAAAGAACATATAAAACATGTAAGACAATTGTGCTATGTCCACTTTTAGCTACATTGTCCCTGCTGGATTATAATACCCTTTTCCTCTATTATATGTATGCATATATGTATGTATGTATATCTATCTATCTATGGTTTCTCATATACGAGGCACCTTAAGATACTTAAGTATGTGTGTCTGAGTTATTTCACTTAACATTATGGTCTCAAGGTGCATTCATTTTCCTACAAATGACTCAAGTTTATCCTTCCTTATGGCAAAATAGTACTTGATTGTGTATAAATACCACATTTTTTAATCTACTGATCTGTTGATGGACATACAGGCTGTTTCTGAGATTTAGCTATTATGAATTATGCTGCTATAAACATGGGTATGATTACATCACTGTGGTATGGTGTTTTTAACTCTTTTGGAAAGATACCTAAAAAGGGAATAGCTGGATCAAATGGAACCTCTAGTTTTAGTTTTTTGAGGAATCTCCATACTGATTTCCATGGTTTTATCAGTTTACAGTCCTACCAACAATGGAGAAGGATTTCTTTCTCCCAACATCTTTGCTAGTGTTTATTATCTGTTGATTTCTTGTTGGTAGCCATTCTTTCTGGAGATGGAAAGTCAATGTTGTTTTAGTTTGCATTTCTTGAGTGGCCAGTGATGAACATTTTTTTCATATATTTATTGGCTGTATTTCTTCATCTGAGAAGTGTCTATTCATTTCAGATACCCATTTTTTAACTGGGTCTTTAAATTTGGGGGGCCTAATTTTTTTGAGTTCTTCATATATTCTAGATATTAGTCCTTTGTCTGAGGAGTAGCTGATAAAACTTTTTCCCATTCTATAGGTTGTCTCTTCACTCTTTTAGTGGTTTCTTTAGCTGTGCAGAAGCTTTTTAATTTGATATGATCTCATTGGTTGATTCTTGGTATTATTTCCTGTGCAACTTTTTTTTTTTTTTCAAAAGGTCTTTGCCTATACCTAGGTCTTCAAGAGTTTTACCTATTTTGTCTTCCAGCACATTAAGTGTTTCTGTTCTGATGGTTAGATCTTCAATTTTGATTTAAGTTTAGTTGCATGGTGGGAGATATGGATCTAAGTTCAACTTTTGGCATGTGGATATCTAGTTATCCCTGCACCATCTGTTAAAGAGGCTATCTTTCCTTCAGTGAAGGGGTTTGTCCCTTTTGTCAAAAATAAGGTAGCTGAGTGTGCCTCAGATCTTGAAGGCCCTGGCCTGAGGCTTGATGCAGAACGTAAGTCTGTTAAGTAGAAAGTACTGACTTGAATTCATATCCCCATGACTCAGGATTTAATGCTCAAGGAAGGGCTTCTAGAGCCCCTTATGATGTCGTACTGGCTCTTTGAGGCTATGTGAAGATCGAACCTCTCTGCCAAAGCATTAAGGAATAGGGTTATGAGCTCTAGGTGGTAGGCATGTTCATGTGGATTTATTATATGAGATTGGAGATCTCACTCCGGCCTGTTCCCTGGGAGAACCCTAATGACACTGCATTCATTGTGACATCTCTGAGAAGGTCTGTAGAGACTGACCTCTCTGGGGTACAGTTGACAGCTGAAGACTGCCATCTGTGGTGGCCTAGAGAAAATGAAAATGACAGGGTTCCAGAATTTTTGAGGCCACGTGGTGGCACCTTGGACATAACCAATAGGCAGCAAGGCTAGAGTAGCAACAAAAAAGGCCTGACTCACTGGGATTTGTGGTAAGGGTTTATACATCATGGTGCCCCTGGGAGGGGGTCAAAAGCCTATAAGGTAGAGCTTGTTAATATTAATGAATGGAAAAAGTGAGTCGTGAACTGCAAGCTGATGTCAGATGGGATAAGGGGCCATGGAAAATAGGTTCCAGATCTGAGCTTGTTCACAAATCCAGAGCCCACTAATTGAAAAGAAGGTAGAGTTTGCTTGAGGAAAGACCCTGAGAAGCTCCTTCACGTATATGCTATAAACATTTTCCCAATCTTTCCTTGAAAGGACTCAAAGCCATGCATCGTGTTGTACATTGGATGAAGACCTTTCAGGGCATATTCAATGAATGATGATAGTTGGCACTTAAAATAAGAAATATTATAATGAGCTCTGGATAGAGACTTTGGAAGAGAAAGTGCTAAAGGTAGTCCTGCTCTAAATATATCTTATAGTGAATCCAACTCCCTATACCAAAAAAAAAAAAAAAAAAAAAAAGCAGAAGTGAAACTGCAGCTAATGAAAAATTGCAGGGGGTAATACTACCCTCAATGAAGGATGCAGGATTATTTCCACATTTCCTTTTGATTCACCTGTTTGACCAACCAGCAACCATAAGGATTTTAAGATCAGTCAATATAGCCTTTACTACTTGCTATTGATCTGAGAAATGCACTGTTTTTGATCACTATATTTACTTTTATGTAGTAGACAGTAGTATACAATCAGTGTTTCGCTCCTGGGTATTATTAACAGCCTTGTTCTCTATAAAAATGTAGTCAACAGGAGTTTTAATTACCTTGGCATCTCACAGATTATTACACAGGTCCTCTACATTGATGCTATTGTGCTAACTGGACCTGATGTGCAGAAGGAAGAAAATACCTTAGTTGCCTCAGTAAGGTTTATATATATCAAAAGGTGGGAGAAAAATCCTATAACATTTTGGAGGGCTGCTTCATTGTTAAAGTTGTTAGGGATTGTTCTGGCTGATATCTAGATCCGCCCCCCCCCCCCCCCCCCCCCCCCCCCGGCCTGCCAAAAAAGCCTTATGAGCTCATAGGTGGGGCTTTTTGGAGATGACTGGAACATGAGTGTGTGATACTGGATTAGTCCCCTGATGGGTTTAGAGCCTAGTGTGCTGTTGGGAGATGAAGCCTGGTGGGAAGTGGTGGGTCACTGGGAGTGGCCTGGGATGATCTCTATCTCTCCTCTTTCCTTGTTCCTACCCTGTTTCTTGATGCCATGTTATAAACTCTTTCTCCTCTGCCATGACCCTCTGCTATGCTTCCCTGCCTTGGAGCCAGCTGGGTATGGACTGAAACTTCTACAAACTGTGAGCCAAAATAAACCTTTCCTCCTTTAACTTGTGGGGGTCAAGTATTTTGTCCCAGCAATGAGAAAGAACTAGGGGTTCAATCATTTTTGACATTTTAGGATATTTTTTCTATGGAAAAGGATGTTATCCCACTACAACAACTAGAATTGGGCACAGTTTTCTGGGCCTTTTAAAATTAAGATAGCATACACTGTGCTTAAAAATACTGCTTTGATCCATTTTTAGGGGACTTGATGGCTGTCTCAATGTTTGGAGTGGGAACTGTACTACGAAAGGATTCTTGAGAAATTTCAGGTTATAGTGTGAAATTCCCTATCTCTCAGGTAGATCCAATCATAGAAGAGGTGCATAGGGACTCCCTAGAGAGTATCTGAAACCCAGATACTTCTAAGGGTTTGGAGAAAGACCAGGTCTTCCATGGGAAATACCCAAGAGCAGCCATTAATGGTGCAGCACTAAGCACTACTTAAGGCAGAAAACCTTCTTGTCAGCTGAGTGCCACAGTCTGGGACTTGTTATGTAGCTGAGTTGTAAAGTTTGGGTGAACACAGTGATGACTCACTGTACTATGGAAATGGTACATTTGGGATCAGACTCATGCAGTTCAAGAGGGCACATTAAATTATGTCAACAGATAGTGTCCCCTACTTTTGTTGCACTAATATGTCTCCCTCAGTTCACTTCACTGATTGGTTGGCCTCATATGTGGAAGCCAACTGAATCTGAATGGTTGCCTCACTATAGCCAAAGGTGGCCATGAAGGACAGTTGTAAGGGAGGTGGTGTTTCCAGTGAGCAGAGGTTTGAACACTAGACATCTTCATTTTGCCTGAAGGAGAACTGGGCTGAGGCAAGGATATGCCTCCCAGAAGTGTAGTGAAAGGCCTAGCTTGGTCAGGGGGACTGGACTGGGAAAGGATAGACTGAGGACCGGAAGGTCTGGGGAAAAGCCATGGGTTAAAATGCATGAGGGTGTGGTTCTTTCTAGTTCATGTTATTGTCCACTAGAATGCATCTACTAGGACAGAACAACTGGTGGACAGAATAATCCTCTGCTGCATGTAACCTTCTGTATTAAACCACTCAGTGCTTGTACAATGGGCTGATAAAGAGATTAGCAATGGTGGCAGAGTAGACTGTATAGGTCAGTAGCATAACATCCCACTCACCTTGGCTGATGTAGCTACTGTTGCTGCTGAATGCTGGGCCAATCAGAAGCAGAGACATAAGCTCCTGATAAGTTATCATCTTTCAGGGTCATTAATCAACCACTGAAGATAACAGTGATTCTTCCTTGTTTGCATTGCTATCTTCTTTAAAGATGGGGCTGCTTCCCTGTGGTGTTTCTGCAATGTCACCATTAAAGCACTGGGAGAATATGTGCCTATGAAAGCAATGCCATTTGCATCCTCTCAGATCGAGGGACTTATTTCATAAAGCATGTACCCATGGATGTGGGATTGAGAGGTCCTTTGCACCCACTGTACACCGTATCACCTGAAGACAACCCAATGATTTAAGGATTATTGGCCTCCAGATTGCCTCAAATCACTGGTGACATACAGTGAGGCGTCCCCTATGGCTAAATGACACAGATCCAGGAACCAACACATGGAAATAGCATGGGTCCCTATCACTTCTTGATGCCCACCTGTAGAATTCACATTTTCCATTTTTGGCAAATTAGCTTGGCTATATTGGGGGGATACTTTCAAAACAGAAAGTGTCCACTGAGCCTGAAATTGTGACTACTTCAAAAGATACTGTCCAGGGTGGACAGTATCAAGATGCATTTGGTTTACATCCTTGTGCCTCTCAGTCACTCCATGTGTAGCTGTGGCTGGGGAGGACAGTTCTGTGTGCCTTGGCTCATTTTATATTGACCAATTTTTTCAAATCTGTATATTAGTGCTACCACTCCTCTGATGCTGAGTATGAAAGAGGTTTAATGCAGGTAGTTGGGATGTAGACACAGATTTTAGAAGATACACCTGGAAAGATAAAGTGTCTCTGGACTATAAGAGGTAATGAAGTCAGGAGAGGGAAAGAGACTCCTCAGAGTCTCTCCCCAGAGAGAATTTTGAGCAAAATGAAATCACGAGGAACTGTCCCCCAAACCAAATGGAATCCCTTTATGCTGTAAATTTGGGTTAATAGCAAAACTGAGCAGAAAGTAGACAATATCTCGACAGGTATCCTGTTGCATGCACACAGATATGCATGCACAGCTGCACACACACACTCCAAGGAACATTTAAAACATTTATCTTTGAGGAACAAGTGTGAGGAGAAAACACTAGCAAAGATGCTTTGACAGCCATCAATAATACAAGATAAGGTTCAGTATTTTGAATAAGGTTCAATATTGAATTTCATAAGGTTCAATATTTTGACCTCACTTAGCCAAAGTTATTAACCCTCTCCATTTTACATAGAAAACAAATAGTACCTCAAATGCATAGTTGTTGGTAGTTTATAAAACCCTAATACATTTTCACATTTGATATATTAATTATGTAATAAGATCAGTCATAACGATTATCCTCATTTTAGACATAAGGAAGTTAGATTCAGGACTTTATTGGTAAAGAGTACATAGTTAGATTTTTTTATGCTTTAAAATTAAATTTATTGTTAACTGATACATCAAAAATATTGTACATATTAATGGGGTAACAGCTGGATGTTAAAGCATATCTCTTGTTAAACTACAGAAAGCAAATATTTATCTTTTTGACTTTGAATTTTTATTCTTTTATTTTTGGTACCAGGGATGGAACTCAGGTCCTTGCACTTGTGCAGCTGGTGGAGAAACCACTGAGCTAAATCCCCGGCCCCTGAGTTTTATTCTTGACTCCAAGCTTGCTGCTTCAGGTTTTATATGTTATTGCTAAGCCTGTTTTATTTTGCCTATCATTAAAGCCTGATGTTGCCCTGTATGTCTTAAGCAATACAAAGCTATTTATAGCTATGCCTATAACTAGTGCATATTGATTCTATTTGCCAAAGCATTTATTAATCATCCTCCTACATTGCCTAAGATTTAGATAGAGGCCTCAAATGTTAGATTAATCAATACTGTTCTTTTCCCTGCTTTTGGAACTTACAGACTGAAATGAATACATAATATAAAAATGTGCACATAAGCTATAAAATTGATGTTATGAATCACTTTAAGTCTTCAGGCCAGAAAAACACAGAATAAAAATTAGTACATTTTAAATAAAAATTGTAGTTTTTTTTGTTTTGATAGTATAAATAAGTAAAGCTCAAAGAGGTTTCTCTTGAGGAAAAATTAAATTTTGAAGACATATTTTTGTAGAAGCAGTAGTCAAATTTGCCACATTTCTAAATTCAAATGAATATACCCTGAAATTTTAAAATTGAGACTTCTCCTGTAATTTGGAAATTACAAATAAGACTCTCTAGAGGGCACCCTACTCCCATTGTGTTTTAAGAGGCAGAGGAATTCTTAACTGTAGCATGAATACAGATATTTAAAATTCATTCTTAATATTTTAAGAGGTTAGAATTGTTATGTGAGATTTAAAGATCAGTATGGATTGGCGTGATTTTTGTGTTCTATGTTTTTATTTGGGATAGTTGAAGTTCTTCAATGCCTAGGATACAGTGAAATTCTCAAGAGAATATACCTACATTTAAAAAGTTAGTTATAATACGTATTAGTATAATCATTTTTCCTATATTATTTAATGGCAGTTTACTTGCTTACTTTAATTGTTATTACTAATACTGACATTATTGGCCTCAAATCAGAATTTTGCAATTTTCTTGGGGGGTGTGATTATCAAAGTGCTTTTATTCAAGAGATCTTGTTCTTCTCCATTTCCAGGTATATAAGTTTAGATGAAAGACCTCATAAGATTACTGGGTTACAGTATGTTCTAGTTGAATGCTCCTTAAGACTAAATCTGAAGGTTTTTTTCTCCCAATATCGGAGATTGAACTCAGGACATTGCACTTTAAATCTGAAATTTGATATGAATTTAATATTAAGAGTCTGCCAAAAATGTATACATCAGGAAAGGAAAAAGTGTATAAATATTTTAATACTAAGTTTATTGATACGTCACAGATTAGTACTTGCTACCTTTGGCCTCTATAATTACAAGAGGTGCTCAAAGTGGTGACCATTAGTTTCCAGACATTTATTGGTACAGCAAACTGCTGAAGTGTGTATACATTTTTTTGGAGGGCTCTGTATATCACAGTATTTTATCTGTGGCCTACATGGAGGAAAGAATCTGATTTAATTTAGCCTTGGATCAGTTTTGCTTTTTAGGTTTTAAAAAATCTGATTTTGACTGTACTTCAGCTACTGCATTCTATGTAATATTCACATTTCTTCATTGTCCTCCACCCAGCTGCTTTATAATAAACATTTCCTCCCCTGTGTGTTTAAATCCTCTGGACAGATCTAGGATCTTCTACTGGCAGCAGATGTCTCTCGAACACCATTTCGTGATTGAATATGGACTACCTCAGTAGTTTGGCTTATCAGTCCTCTGTGTAAAAACCGACTTAGCTTTCTATGTTGCTTCTCTCTTTGCAGCTGGGGTTTTATTCCTGGTTCTGGCTGTTTTCCCAGACCTCACCCAGGAGAATAAGAGGTAGGAGTAGCCCATTGCTGCTTTACCTGTTCTACTTTTGCTTCCAGTGTAATGGCGTATGTTGCACAAAGCTCCCATCATGAACCCTAATTCAAGGACATAGGTACTAACCCCCTGGCCCCCCATGTCTGAGTCTTGTCTTGGTAACACCTGGAACTGGTAGTCTCTGTTGAGCTCTAGGCCAGCAGAGGAGGGTATGTCACCTGCTGTCACTCACATTTAAAAATTCTTCCACATTCCCCTGGCAGTGTTTTGCCACCCATCTGCAAGGCCACGACTTGCTGGACTCCTGCTACCAACACTGGCATCATACTCTTTACCTAGCAATAATAATCCCTTATAATTATGTGGCACTTGAAAATATATTATTTCATTTAGTCATATGAACTCTGATACTAGCCACCTATAAGTTAGATATAGTCATTTTCATATAGATATGTGATTGAAAAAGGATTTACATTCATATCGTCGCTACTGGAGGTTTTTGTGGTTTAAATTAATTGTAACAGGTAACAGGTTTTACCTTCCTTGTCTGAATGTCTTTTCATTTCTGCATCTGCTTAAGCTCTTGCCCCACATTATGTGACCCTGATTTTTTTGTTCTGTTCATCTGAATCCACTGCATGGATGATCTTACTAGGACTGAGGCTCACTATTCCAGAGCTCAGAGTGTCACAACAAGCACTTAGAGGCATCTTCTTAGCTAATACTTAACACTCTTTTTAAAACAGTGTATTCCAAATTCACCTGCCCCAAACACCCAAGGCACTTGTTATATGCATAGCTTGCCAGACTTTCAGGTTTCTTTCCTGGATACACTGTAGTTTAGTGGGTCTGGGCTGAGACCCAAGCGTTTTTAAACAAGTTCTAGACAGTTCTTACCTTCAAGCAAAATTGGAAATCAACTTCTTAAAGCAGTATCTTAGAAGGGTGTGAAATTAATCTGCTCACGCTTGATTCCTTTTCTGTCCCTCCCTCTTTAGATGCATTTGGGCATCTTTTTTTTCCTCCTCCTCTGTCGAGTTTCTGCTGTCAACGACAATCATTTTAATAGCTTATCAGCCCACTCTGTAATTTGGATTTGGAAAGCAAATTGATCTAGAGAAACTCCTTATCCTGCACTGAATTGGAGTAATTGAATTTTGAAAATTTTCCCACATAAGATGATTTAAGCTTTACTATAGCATAGTTATCTTTAACAGCTGAACCTTAGGGAAAGGGTTTTGGAATTAGATGATACTGGACTTAAGTCCTTTTGTATTGTCAAAAGGGGGAGACAGGTTCTTTCCCCAAGTGATCTTATTCCATCCCTAAAGATGCTACCAAATGATCTCAGTAACTCTTAATTCCATAAAGCCCTTGGCACATTATAAAAACAAATCACATGTATAAAGATATCACAGGAAAAATAATAAACTACATAGGAGTTATTTGCATCAAGAAATAAGATTTTTTAGAAAGGTAAGCACTCTAATCTCACCATGCTTTCCCGAAAAGAGACTGGAAATAAATTCTGGCCTGAAATGGTGCCAATCCACCCATTAAGGATTCATATTGCTCCCCTGTCAGTGGGAGCATCACCCAAACGGAGCCACAAGAAGGCAAAGCTGAAATCATAGCTGTCAAATCCCAAGAGACGAGGCCTCGGGGAATGGAATCACTTTGGCAGATTTGCCATAACTGAGGGGCTATATTAATTGGCTTTCCCACTGCTGAGACACAATGCCCAACATCCGCAACTTAAGGGAGGACGGGTTTCGTTACTAGCCTGGTGGTCTCTGTTTCATCTGATATCCAGGGTTTTGGTATCCAGAACAAAGATTTGAGCAGGGCACACAGAAGTTGTAAGAAAAGCAGGGATTTTATTAAAAGGAAATTACACGCTGCAGAGTGGGAACTGGCTGACAAGAAGCTCAAGAGTAAGCTTGTCTCAGGAGCAGCCCATCTGCTTTTGGTTCTGAGGTATTTATTAGTGTCTGGGGTGGTACCTAACAGGACAATCTCCAATTAATTTGGAGTTTCCACCCTCGTGCCAGGAGGGAGAGTTTTTGAATTTATATGGGTATGGTAAGAAAATGCATGGCTACCAATGCCCATGGGGATAGGGGTCAAAAACCACAGTGCTAATGATATTATGACTATGGGGTTACCCTCAGTTACTCTAAAGAAGTGAGATCTCGCGCCCCTCTGGTTCATGCCACTTGTCACCAAGTGTGATAAGAACAGGAACATCTCTCTCAGGCTCATGCTGGATGTCAAGGAAGTATGGGGAGTACAGGACAACATGTCTCAGGCACATGCTAGGATGACAAGGAACTACAGTTAGGACAGAATGCTCTTGGTGTCTCTCGGAGCTGGAAGGTATCCTCTCTACTGTAAGCCCAAGTTCAAGATGCTTTCACACTGTTTATCTTCTGCTTCAGTTTAATTTGGCTCATGACTTCAGGGATTTCAGTCCATGGTTGTCTGGCTCCAAGGCAGAAACATCATGGATATAGCAGAGCAAAAATACTTACGGCAGCCAGAAAGCAGAGCAGGGGAACAGTGCCAGAGAAGAAGGGGTTAGGGACCAGACATAGCAGCACCAAAGGTCAAGTCTTCATGCCCCTCCCAGATATCTCCAGAATTTTCTCCACCAATCCCGAGTGCATCACAAGGCCAGTCAAGTTAACACAATGGAGCTTAATCTCCACAGGGGTTGATCGCCAGCCAGACAGGCTGAAATCCTAATGCAGTCAGTTTCAGAACTGGATTCAAGTTTATTTTAAATCCCCAAACTCTGAAAACTAATGTATAAAATCAGAGTGCCAATATTTTACTTTACCATTCATCTATGATAAGAATGGGACTCTTCCTGTCAGCATGGCCAATCTGCTTTTTCTCCATGTACATCTATTTGGAAACTAATTTGATAACCAGGAAGCCTGATGGCTACATTTTCTAATTTGTTTTCTTGAAACAATCTTCAAGGCACTGCCAAAGTTTTATAAAGAATCAGTTTTTATCTGATAATTTTTCATAATTGGCTATACTTGATGTTTCACTGCTTTGGGAATTATTTTTTGGCACATTTGCTTAATTCTTATTGACCTATGTCCTATCTAACTTATATTCTTAGCACCTTAACATCACAGAAGAGTGGGTGAAAGTTTCTGCTTTTCTTTTGTCATTGTACTCCTTTTATTTGTCTTTTAAACCACCCAGAGCCTATCAGAAGTTATTTTCAACCAAAACATGACATTTTATTTTCCAAATATAGAAGATATAAATCACTAATTCAGCATATACAGGAAAATTTAGGCGAGTTCTTTACTTTAGATTGCAATTTCTATGAATAGTAATTTACCTTGCTAGGGAGAAAATATTTAAGCCATGCGTTTCTCATAACTGTGGCACAAAAAGCTGGCAAAACCCTCACTCTTTAACCTTTTGTATTAACAATTCTGAGGGCCCGGGGATTTAGCTCAGTGGTTCCGCCCCCTGCTGCGCAAGCACAAGGACCCAAGTTTGATCCCTGGTACCAAAAAACAAACAAACAAAAAATATCACAGTAACAATTCTGATTATGTTGTACTTGGATTTAGCATATTACATTCTTTTCTTTTCATTAGAAATTGAAGACTTAAATAAGGTAATCTAAAAAAATTAACTTGTCATTTTTGTAGATACTTAAATATCCCAGATTTTGGTCCATTTTTTTCCTGAGCATGATTTTGATAAATACTGCTCCATTGTTATTTGACTATCTGACAAGCTCTTTATTAATATTCCAAATAGTACAACAGCTGACTTCAGTCTGACAGAAAAAGATAAGTGTACTGTGGTCTCCAGCATTATTGATGTGTTTTGAATAAAAAATGCCAACATCACTTGCATAGCTTTACACAGGTGAAGAAGACATGAAAAGAAATAAATTGCCAGTGATGACTATGTTAAGTGATGATTTTATTTTAAAAACCCCAAAGAAATAATATTTCATTAAGCAAAAAAGGTATGTTTACAATAAACCAAAAATCTGTAACAGAAAGCAACTGCAAAAAGATGGAAGATACAGGGTTGTGATCGAGGAAGCAAGAAATGATTTATGCCATGTCCAATGGCTATACTTTTCAAAACTGAGATCATCTAATACTATTATTTGCCTTTCAGATGTGTTAACATTACTTTTCTTAGTTTATAATCCACTTACATTCAAACATTTTGGTGAGTCTCACTGGCTGGCATGGGTCTCAAGCAGATTAGGAATGGAGAGCACCTGTGATAGCCATGCTGCCTTGCAGCTAATCACCACCCCAGTCCTCTGAAACAGGTTGCATCCTTCTCATAGATGTGAGAACGAGTCTCAGATTAAATCATTGCTGAAGGTCACAGCTTTAGTAACTTCAGCAAGATTGGTATTAAAACCTCACTGGTTTAGTAAATCATTCTACACCATCCAGTGTAGTTTATGAACCATAAAATAAGCACTTGGAAGAGTTATAGTTATTACCTTATAATAGCACATTGCTAGACTCTTACTGTGTAGAAAAGTGGCAAAAGGAAAGTTCCTCAGCCCAATTAAGTGTAATAGAGTTTGAGCAAAATAAAACACGAGTCACTTATCAGACAGCTCCCAGAATCAGAGGAGATTCTGAAAACTCCAATAATCTTACATTACTACAGAATAACAGAAGTGAGGCATAGAAAACAACTTGATTGACTACAGATCCCTCAATCAGCTAGTCAATTGGTTAAAACCCAGTTGTTTACAGCTTTATTATATTGTCTACAGTGCTGCCTGCAAACAAAGCTGAGTTTTTGTGATTAAACTCTATACTGACTTGGTTTGGTGGGTCCAGTCCAAGTTCATGGCTTCCTACAGAATTTTACTTACAATTCCCCTCTTTGTGTTATGTTCCCAAGTGAGAGTGTGGCCAACTGAGTGTGTGGCTTGGGACATTACATCTTTCTCAATCACCATCATCTTGAATTTCCATCTCAATAAGTCATTCGTAGCTTATAGCATCCTCGTGGTGAGACATTCTTTTTTTTTTTTTTTTTTTGGTACCGGGGATCAAACTCAGGATCTTGTGTTTGCAAGGCAGGTGCCGGAACCACTGAGCTAAATCCCTGGGCCTGTGGTGAGACATTCTTTAAGTTTCTATTCCAGCTAAAGACCATTTAGCATTCAACAGATGGCTGCACAAAGACACTTAATACTTTGAGAACACAATGCACTAAAGAGAATGCTGTTCTATTAGGAGATAATACCGAGAGTTTGGAGTATGCTCCTTAGTCAAAGTCCTAACAACTCAACCAATTTAGCTAAATAGCTTATTCATTAATTTTCTTACAACCATATATGTACAATACCCAGTGTATTTATCCATATGGAACAAAAAGCATTTGTAACTGTACAGACTCCTCTCTTTTTGGCCAGTAAATAGTCTAAAATGCTAGACTGAGTTAAATTAGAATGGAGTGAGAACAATTAGAAAAGTCTGGTTAGAGCTTTATCCCAGCAAGGAAGAGAGAAAGGCATAAGGAAGGAAAAAACCCAAGAGGGCTAAGTCTCACGATGATGGGGAATCTTGATTTTGTATCTTGGGGAAAGCGGTCCACATCTAAGATGTTATACATCAGAGTGAGTTTTCCTTCGCTTTAAAGTCTCTAACAGGTGTTCAATTCCAGAAGAGCCCCCTTATGTTGTAAGATACACAGCAGACTCAAAGTTGGAGACTCTGAAGCTTTAATGCAGTGTGGTGGTGAAGAGAACTTGCAGCAGTTGCCACACCATCAGTTTCTCATAATTTGAAGTTTCCTTTTCACTCCTGAGGAGTGGAGTGCAGAACTTCTCACAGCTGAAAGACTCAGGAATGACCAGGCAGGCATCCATGCCCTCTATGAGTCCATGCTTAGTATTGAATCCCTTTCAAATACGAGTTTAGTTTCTCAACTGAGGAGTATAGCAATGTCCATTAAATGGGCCACCACAGGCAACTTGATCTGTATCATTAATGAGTTCATTCAAATTGTCCCCCAGCTATCTCAGCACGAAAATCTGTCAAGACATTTTCCTGATATTCAATCAGTTCCTGTTCTGCCTGTTGTTGGATTAGCAGTCTATGAACAACTATTCTCTCCATTAGAGTTCTAGTAATTTTTACTTTGCCCAAGATATGATATTGAAGTTGTAAAAAAATCTGTCCAAAGATACATCAAAGTTATCACAAACCTATACTTGTCAGAATACTTTCTATGAGTATCCTTGAAGATGAAAAGCTTCAGGCTAGAGCAAACAATTAGCCATCCATGAAATGAAAAGACTCCCAATGGCCCTGATTAAAGATTAAAGATCTGGTGAGAGTTCATTACAGTAATGCAACTGACAAGGAAATTCTTATTTTTCTATTGCATACAATGTTTTAAGATAAATAGAATTGTCTGACAGCAATAGATCAGGTCTATCAGATCTATGAATTTTAATTTTTGAAATATATCAACAACTTATCCATATATACAGAACTCAAAGAAGATCCAGTATCACGTATTATTCAACACTTCCTATACAATGAACTTAATAAGCCTATTCAGTTTATGTCTTAGACGTTTCAGGAGCCTTTCTAGAACAAAGTTTAGAGTCCGAAACAAGTTTAGAGTCCAAAGACCTAGAGATTGTGGTTTTCAGAAGTCTGTCAAAAACATCAAAAGTTCAAAAGTCTTGATGAAATGAGGTCACAGAGTAAGAGCAAAACACTCATTCAACCAAAATGACCCAATTTGAAAAGCAAATACAAAACCCCACACACCAGGAGAAAGACCCAAGCTCTTCAACACAAGACTCAGTTTTCCTAAGAGATCTAATAAAGCTGTTTAAAAGCAGATCAATTCACCAAGAGAAACTTGTTGTTTAACACAGGAAACAAAGTTCTAATTTTGTCTAGTTAACACTTTTATATTAATGCTCAACTCCTAGTTGCTTCTAATTTTAGCTAGCTTGATTTCATACAGCTTCTTTCAGAAGATTCATCTCTCACACCTTTCCACAACCTTTATATATTCTTTTAGATATTTGTTGTATACTTTTCTGCTTTCATCTTGGAATAACCATTCTACTTTAGGCCAAAAATGTACTGTTTTTCCCTTAAAAGAACCACATCTTTCATATTGTCTTGTCACCACTTCAGACTGGGAATGTTCACTTGAGATTCAGGTCAGCCCCAAGAAGAGATGCGGAGCTGTGGGAATGTCTGAACGTGTCCTTATTTCCTCAGCTGCTCAGCTCAGCTCAGCTCACATTCTGTTTCTGTCACTTTCTGGAATCCCAGCTATTGTACACTGATAGCAGCCTCCAGACCCCTAGCCTGCCCACCAGCCTTTGTGGTAGTCTGGATTTATAGTAAAAATACACAATAATGGCTACTGCCAGTATCGACTTTGGTTAGACAAGTCATTTACACTGACATCAGGAGGTGCACCTGTGCCGGAATTCTGCTGCCTCAGGACATATTGTCCCCTGGAAATCACCTCTGCCCCCAGCCTGAACCATAGTGCAGCCATCTTGAACTTCATTTTTTCCTACATGTATATTTTAGCTTCATCCACCAAACACGTCTTAATTTTCTTGTATAAGGAGTTATTTCTAGTTTTAATGACTACCACAGATTTGAATTTAAAAATATTCAATAACCTTAATTTCTAAGGAAGTTTAGGAAGCAAGCAATTTTGAACATTTTTATATCAGTATTTTGTAGATACACACAATTTTATAACTACTCCAAGGTACACTGCTTTAGTATACTGATGAAGTTGAAAGCATTTGAAAGACAGTAAAATATAAGGCTACAGGACAAATCTTTCAAAGACTCAATTATTGTTAATCTTTAGAATATTAACTATTATCACAGGAGATATTTCACCACACCCAGACAGGTTGTGTTACAAAATGTCTTCTATCCCAATAGCCCATTCAACTTTCTCAAAAACCATAGGTTTCCTTCTTTACCTCTGACCATTTTACTTATTTCAGCATGTGGGTTGAATCCAAGAACACTTGCTTTTTTCTTGACTGACCTGATTACTGCTTACTATATTTTTCTTATAAACAGACTTCAGGCCAAAGTACCATCATCTGCTGAGAGGAAGCAAAGCATAAATAGGAAGCCTACTTATGGTGATGGGCAAAGGTGAGGCTTATTAGACAGGTCTAAGTCCTTGTCTTCTTCCTTGTGAAAGCTTTCAGTAATTTAGGCCCAGAGTGGGAGACATGTAATCACATATGAAGACTTTCTCCACAAATGTCCTTCTCTAAAGAGACCTAAGAATAGGCAGCTTCTCAGGCTAGGTTTTGTTCTTTCAACCAGAGTTCAGGGCAGGGCTCAAAACCATCTGCAGGCAAAGCATTTTCTAAGAGGACTAAGATATCTTTCATTATTATTCTAAGCTAAGATTTTAACAAAGGCATAAAGGTGGATAAAGAAGCAGACCCCCCCCCCCCATCTAGGGTTGTATAAACCACGCTCCTCCCATTTAGTCTTCTAAAGGTGTATGCTAATTAAGAAACACATCCCATTCTTTCTGTGGAATATTTGATCCTTCATTTTCTAATGTACCCCACAAATAAACAACTTTATTCATATTGAAATTTTCATATGCAGTCACTGTACTTCCAAATTATTTTTGGCAAGGTTTACCCATTTCTTTAAAAGAAAGTATAGGTTCTGGGAATTCTTATATGTGAAATTGGCTGGAGGAGTTCCAGACCCTAGATGCTGCTCAGTTTCTGTCTGACCACAGGAACTACCACACACCCCAGAAAGGTCATAAGCCCTCTCAGAGCACAGAGCAATCACAGGCACCACCTGGAGTTACGCACTTTCTCACAGCACGCACTAATCCTGACTGGAGTTCCAGGAAGTAGACTTCCAGCTGCCCTGCATCCAGAAAAGCCAGGATTCTCTGTCTTCCAGTCACCTTATCTACCTACCAATCCCAGTCCCACTTTGTCTAATCCAGTTGAAAACCTGAGCCTTCCCTATAGGACCTAGTCCCATTTGTCATGACTTTTTAAAAATCCAGTTTGAACCAAGAGTTTGCTCAAAGAAACACATTGCTTAAATGTGTTTAAAAACTCTATGGAGCATTGATATCTGAGAACTTGCCCACAGTCCCCAGATGCAACAAGAAAACAGTGACCCCAGTGAGTTTAGTGAGTAACTGTGTCTGGTAACTTGATCTCCCCATGTTGCAGGAGCTCTGCTTGGATCCTGCTATTACAGAATTGTCAAAAGGAACATTCCTCCAACCGCTTACATTTTGTAGTATATTTGAGCAAAACAACACGATTCCCAAATCAGCCACTCCAACCAAGGATGTGATCTGACAGCACTTATTCAAAAACAGAGGTAAGGCATAGAAAACAACTTAATTGACTACAGGTTACTCAATCAAGTACTCAACTCATTATAGCTTATGTAGTTAGTTGTTTACAGCTTAGTTAATTGTCTACAGTTCCTCCTACAACAAACCAAAGCTCAGTTACTGTGATTAAATTCTGTATTGGTTTTGTCTGTTGGGACCAATGGAGGCATCCACTCCAAACCCATGAGCTCACATGAAATTTTGTTCAACAAGGGGACTGCATTTGACTTCAACTCTGATGAAAATTTGAACCTAATTAGTTTTTGATCCATTAGTTTAAAAAGATATCACCCCCCACCTCCCTGGTGTGGACCTAACACTAACTTTGGAGTTCATCATATTTGGTTTTATATATACACTCACACAGCCTTTCTTTCTCTAACCTTGAAATATCAGGTATAAAATACATTTTAAGTCTGTTTCTTTCATGGTGGACGAGTGTCTTAGTTATTTTTCTCAACACTCTCAAGTTAAAGGAGGAAAGGTTTATTTAGCTCACAGTTTGTAGAGATTTCAATCCATACTCAGCTGGCTCGAAGGCAGGGTGGCATGGCAGAGGGACAACACAGGGGAGAAACTCCACGACAGGGCAGGCAGGAGGAAGCAAACAGCAGCAGACTCGCTTTCTCTTTTATTCCATCCGGGCTACAAACCTTTTGGCTGGTGCCACCCACAGCCAGGGCGGGGCTGCCATTATCCACACCTAGCCCTAGGCGAAACCAATGTATCCCAACCCTTAATCCCATTATCTCACACTCTCGATCCAGACACCTGTGACAAGGCCCACCTATGAGCACAGGAGGCTTTGGTGGTGGGGGGGGCAACTAGACAGCCATAACAGAGAGTCTTCAGGTATATAAGCTTGTTACAGGTTTTGTTCTTTTTTTGGTACCGGGGATTGAACTTGGACCTTGCGGTTTCGAGGCAGGCAGTGGAACCACTGAGCTAAATCCCCGGTTCCAGGTTTCGCTCTTTAATTGAGGCAAGCTATAGCTTCTGAGGAGTTTAACAAAATTGGAAAAATTTAACAAATCAGTCATCATGTGCATTTATCAGCAATCACAAGCTGAACGGAGGATTTTATTTTTACAAGCCAATGGGAGTTGGCTGAATTCCCAGCCTGCTTTAGTAAGTGATCGACAGACCAACATAAGCAGATCTCACATATATATATGAATATATATATATGCATGTATGTATTTTGTTCCCATACTTTCCCAGATGTACCAAAGAAACTGCCTTTCATATTAACTCTTATTTAAAAATCTGACAGAACCTCTCATTTCTTTTTATTATGTGTGCTGTTGAATGGCAGCCATTGTTTCTAGACTACCATTTTCAAACTTTACTTTCTCTGTGAAGATGAGAAGGGGGAACACTAATGGTTCTTAGGCTCTGTTTCTCTCTTTCATTACTTTTCTACTTCTACGTGCCTGTCATTACTTCTTTAAAAAAATAGCCAAAACAAAAAACAAAACAAAACAACAAAAAACCCAACAAAAAACTCACTGCAAAAATAGTACCAATTGTTGTAGAGTGAAAATATTGGTAAGAAAGTCAGCAGTGTATGAGAGCTACAGAGGAAGCTAAGAGGAGAAGGGAAGATCAGAAGAGAGGTAAGGCTGAGTAGAGCCCAGGGCCAGGGATGAGATGAGAGGCCCAGAGAGAACCTGGAAGTTGATATGAGGGGAAAAACATTAAACCTAGGCAGAAGGCTAAATACTTAGTTGTCATTCTAGGTAATTAATTAACATCTCTGAGCATCAGTTTTCAATCTCTACAAAAGGAGAATTACAAGTCAGGGTTCACGAGTACGTGAGTGTGCTTGGCCTTCACATGGAATATCTCACCACAATGGCGGTGGAGGAGTAGGGGCAAGTCACCCGGAACAGGAGGACTGGGGCTCCTGAGGTCCAGGACCCAGTAGCAGTTGGCTCTGTCCGTGAAACAAAGGTCAGGACAATCTGCCTTGTGGGACTGCAGGGGAAGGGCGCATTCTCTAAGAGGAGAGTATAGGCTTAGAGAAAGGATGGGCACCAGGCTGGAACTTTCTGATCTTCCACGCTTGAGTAGGTGCCCTTCTCTTTCTCAACTGTGTTGCTTGTTTCTGCCTATAGAAGTGGGAGGCATTTCCTGAGCCAGTTAAATGGAGAAGATGGGAGTCACTGAGAAATCTAAAGTGCTGCTGGAAGACCCAGTTTCCAGGACTGAAACCAAATGATGCTCCCTAAAATAGCTCAGCGTTGTGTGATTACTAAAGTCTTCAAAGAACCCTTGTCAGAACTTTGAAAGCTCATTCCTTTAGGCTGTGTCTTAGCATCAGATACAGATGAAAAGAAAACCTATTGATAATTTTGTTCAGCATCTCTCCCCCTTCTTCACAGCCAGCGGTTGGATGTGGCTGGGTATTTATGTCTCCTGATCCCCCATGGGATGCTCCAGACTGGCCAGCCAGAGCACTGTGTTCCCATTGGTCAGTGACTGTCCTAAGGATAAGCTAGTGACACACACCGGGCAGTGCAGGGTCCATTTGCCTCCTCTGGAGTCCAAGTAGCTTTGGGGATACTTAGAAACATTTCCCAGTCACACTAACAAATCGCCTGATTCCAGGCAAAGCATGGTCGGGCAGAAACTCAGCCAAAGAAGTCAGAGAACAGAACCTGAAAACATTGTTAAAACTCATCCATTCAGTAGTAAATGTCTTTTTTGGTTTCCTGACTCGAATTTTTCTGTCATTTGGTTCTGAAAGTGTTCTGGCTCACACAGGAGACACAGTGTTAAGCTCCAATTCTTTCCCATTGTGTTATATAATTTTTAATTTAGTGAAGCAAAAAAATTTTTTGGCTAAGAATAATTTTTAGTATTTCATATAATGTATGGGCCCTCTAGATGTGTTTGATATTGTTTTAGAAATAACAAGTAAGTTTGTTCCATAAAGCCTTTTCTCATATGGATCTTAGTCTTTGTCTTAGTAGGTTAAATGCAATTGTTTAGGAAAGAAATAGATTCTATAGTGACTTCAAATAATAGATCTCAGATAATCTTAGGAGGTATGCCATAGTAAATTAGGAAAGTGGGCAGATATTCTTTCTTGGATGTATCTTTTGACAACCGAAGATTGCTTAAAACGTCAACTGTGAAGATGTATATTGTCACGGGAACCTTGAATAGCAGCTATGCTAAAATTTCCAAATGATTATTGTGCTTGTCTAGGAAGGAGAACAATAGAGTTGTTACGAAAACAACAGAACTGTTTTCATACCTCAGAAAAATTTTGCAGAGGTCATTAGTCGTCATACAGGATTGTTAAGATTAACACATTGTAGGAGGATGTGAAAGAAGACTAATGGTTTTCTTAGAACCAAAAACCATATTAAATTGCTAATTATAAATTCATTATCTCCTTTCTCATCATGATTAATTTTTAATTATTATATGAGCAAAAGCTTAATGAAATCATTTGGATTAGTGGATTGCCCCTAGTGGGAAAATTTTAATTTATATCTGCTTTCTTAGGAAAAATGTGGAAATGTCCAAAGTTTAGGAAAAAATAATGAAAAAAATCACTTTCTGTATTAGTTACGAAATATGGGAAATAGCTTAATTGTAATAATAGATAAAACATGGCCTAATTTTCATTGTTTAATACATTTTTTTGCATTATATTTATTTTTAGGTTTTGGTAATACTAAAACAATATTTTAAAAATACAGGGCAAGGCCTGTCCCATCTGTTTCCCCATGTGTTCTTAGCCCTTAGCCATTCTATATTCTTCCCCATATCTCCTTTCACATGCACCACTGTCTTTTTGTTTTTAATGTAAACTATATCTTTCCAGAGATTATATTTATAAAATCTTAATTTCTCTTACTTTTCATATATGTTTGAAAACGTTTACTATGTGGTCTATTTCCTTTGGTTTGTACACCTTGTACTTTTTCTGATAATTAAAATTTTTCTCCCTACCTTGTGGTTGCTTTTATTAACATATTGTACCCTACTAAGAAAAATGATAAAATTGGCTTATTTCATCTTCCTCCATGGGCCCTCCTTTTTCATCCACCACCTAATAATAGTAATAAAATGATCTTTTTTAGTATTTACTCCTACATTGTTAAATACGTAAATTTTTATTAAGTGATTTGTGAACGTCTAGTAATATTTCTAATACCTAGCCCTTATACATAAGACAACCAGCATATATATTTATTTACTTCCTATCTTTTTTCTTTTATCTTTCTTGTCTATCTCCACATCTGGTTGTTGTTTTTTTTTTTTGATACAGGGTCTTGCTATGTAGTCCAGGCTGGGCTTTAACTTGTGATTCTCCTGCGTTAGCCTCCTGAGGCTCCAAAACTGATTGTATGAAAGGTGGTGGCTCTGTCACCTCAGTGAGCCCCTAACTCATGGGAGCACCAGGCTGGCTTGCCACTCCCATCTTTCCATCCTGCTCTCCAAATGTGCAAGTTTGTCACTTTGTCATGATTTTAGCTGCTTTGGTAAAAGTGATATTTTTGGAATATATCTCATTCTTGGTTTTGGCTGAAAATAAAGTTTCTGAGTTCTTCCCCATTTCTGTTGCCTTTGTATGACATTCAGGTTTAAATTCTTTTCCTTATGCCTGAATTTTTATTTTAACTTTTTAGTTTGAATTATTTTGAGACTTACAAAAATAATGAGCTGAAGCCCCTTTAATGCCCTTATCCTTCTTCCTCTAATCTTAACATCTTTTGTACCCATAGTATGATTATGAAAAACAGGAGGTTAATTATTAGTACATTATTAGTTCAGTTTCAAGATTCCATTAGAATTTTGTTGATTTTCCCACTAATGTCCCTTTTTTCCCTTCAGAATTTTATGCAGCATTCCATGCTATATTTAGGTTTTATGTCTCCTTCCTTTTTTTCAGTTTATGATAGTTTCTTGGTCTTTAATTTTCTTTTATGGCCTTGATATTTTGGAACTGTACGGATCAATTATTTTG